TTATACATGGTCATTTTATCTAGTCCCCCATTCTAGGGACAGAACCGCTCTAGCATTTATATATGCCAAAATTTAAACTAATACAAATATTTTACCACAAAGAACATTACTCCTTTCAATGGCGAAATTCTTCACCAACATGCATACCACTAAATATGTCATATGTGTGCGGACATGGAGAGAAACTAACCGCGGGAGAAGTAGTTGAGAACATTTTAGGGGAAGCATCGACAAGGTATACCAATAGTTCCTTCGTAGCATCTCTCTCCTGTGTATGCAAAAGAGCACGGCGCAAAATTCTGCATTGGTATAGTTAACAGGAAAATAGCGCAGATAGTGAGAAGTGGGAAGAACCTGATAGAATTCACTGTCGGGGTCGTCTTCTTCGTCGCGAAACACATCATCGGGGTCCAGTTCCATCGATTGCTTAATCCTTAGCTACGAAGAAACGAAAATGGGAACTTCTTTCTTCTCTTTCCCTGTTGTGTTTCTGAGCAGAAGAGTGGAAGAGTGGAGAAGACGATTCTGACTTTTTGAGAGGGAACGAATTGACTTCTTCTACGTTTCTCCGCTAAATTCAAATTGGGGGAATTTGGCCATTCAACTGATACGGGTCGGACCGCATCGCGGGCTTGTTTTTCATAACAATTCAATTAAAAGTCCAATACGTTGATCTTAAAGGCCCTAATATTTGGGCCAACGCATTACGCACAAACTCTGACAGCCCATTGTGCTTATGATCCCATGAGACACGCCCGAAAAAAATTAAGAATCAATTTCATTTTTACATCTGTAAAAATTAAACAGATTATATCAAATTACAAAAAAATAATATGGCGACGTTTTTATAATTATCACTAACTTACAAAGTTGAACAGTTAAATATGCAATATGTAACGAATAAATATGTAAACATATATAATTTTAAAAAATCAATGAAACATGTAATTTTAAATCTAAATCGCAAATATTAGACCTTAAACTGTAAAAAAAAAATAAACCCATAGACCAAATAAAATAAATAAAATTCAATCATAAATTCTAAAATCCAAACCCTAAGTGTAATGCATTTTCGCATTTTTGTAAGTGTAATCTTTTAATACTAAATGTGTAATATATTAATATTAAATGTGAATTTTGTAACAATTAAATGTGCAAATATTAAAATTCTAAAAAAGAAAAATGCACATTTTAATGTTTAAGTTTACATAGCAACATTGGTGATACTTATAAAAATGACACTGTATTTTTTTAAAATCTGATCTTATATGACTGTTTTTTCTTGATGAATGTTTTATTTATGTGGAAGGACCACTGGAAGGTGGACTATTAAATTTTGAAATTTAGTTTACATCTTTACTAATTTAGTTAATTTTTTAAATTTGACCAAGAAAGATAAGAGTAGATCCGAATATGGAAATCTAGAATGCTTGGAACAATTCCAAACAAATATTTTGTAATGATTTATTGTAATTTGGTCTAGAAAAATTTGAAAGTTGAAATATATTGGCCATGTTTGGTAAACGGATGTTAATTGTTAGCTATTAGTTGGTTAGGTTAATTAGAGTGTATAATTAGTTGATAATATTAGCTGATTTTAAAAAGATGTTTGGTAAATTAGTTGTTAGCTGATAGTTGTTTGGTATAATTTCTTTTTTCAAAAAATTAATTGAAAACGTTGTTTTGAGCAATTTTTTTTTTTAATTTTAGCATTTAAGAGTTACAAAAAGTTAATTAACCAAATATTTATATTGATTTTTAACCAAGTCAAATAACTAACAGTGGTCAGATAAGACAAAATTGACCTATAGGCTGACTATTTTACCTAGTAGTTACGTTGTGCAACCGTGTCCACCATGCATGGTGCACACGATTGCAAAAACGACGTCGTTTTGACGTTCAACTTTTTAAAAAAAATAATACAGTTTTGATTGCCGTTAACGGCGTTATGTTGTGCATAATTTGAACTATACATCCATAACTTCATAACTATACATTCAGAATTGCATAACTACACATCCATAACTATACATTCAGAATTACATAACTACACATCCATTAACTTCATAACTATACATTCAAAGTTGCATAACTACACATCCATAACTTCATAACTATACATTCAAAATTGCATAATTACATATCCAATAACTTCATAACTATACATCCAGAACTGCATAACTACACATCCATAACTTCATAACTATACATAACATATGTTTACATAACTAACGGTAATAAAAAATGATATTTTTTAAAAAATAAAATAACACCGTTTTTACATCTATATGCACCATGCATGATACACACAGATGCACAACATAATTGCCCTATTTTAACAAACAGGGCCATTAGGTAGTTTGGTCAAATGTGATAGATGAGGTATTAAATAAAAATGATACTTTTTGACTCATGAATTACAATACATGATTTTTTTTCCTTAATTATTATGCATGTGCATCCATGTTTGCCACTTAAATATCATCGAATTGACCAATTTTACTCAACTCCTAACAGAATCGTGACCATTGCACGATAATAACAGAAGTGTCATATGCCATTTGGTTGGGAGGGAATTAAGTGGGAAAGAATTGTAATTTTATATGAGAGAATAATGACTAAAGTGGTAATTTGAATTTCAGTATTTGATTTACAGGCATAGAATTTCTAGAAATTTCAATTTAATATTTGATATACCATTAGAATTGAAAGGAAATAAGTAATATAAAGGCCTTGTTTGGTAAAAAATTGGCCTATAGGCCAATTTTGGCTTATTTGACCACTAATAATTGTTTGATTTAGTTAAAATATCAATATAAATGTTTGGTTAATTAGCTTTTTGCAACTCCAAAAGGCTAAAATTCAAAAAGCTAGTCCAAGCAACTTTTTCAATTAGCTTTTAGAGAAAAGAAATTATACCAAACAGCTATCAGCTAACAGCTAATTTACCAAACACTTTTCTACAATCAGCTAATGTTATCAACTATTTATACCCACTAATTAACACAATCAGCTAACATTTAACAGCTATCTGCTAATAGCCATTTTACCAAACGGGACCAAAATCTAAAATGCACATACTTTTATGGTAATAGTTTGATAAAATTATCTACTTTTATTATCTCTGAAATTCATAAATTAAAAATATCATTTTTAAATATTAAATCATCAAAATTTTAACTTTATTGTTTTTTTTTTGGCAAAGCAAAATTTTAAATTTTTTAAAATAATTATTACAGAATACAAAAATTTAAAAATTTTCCTCAATAAACATATATTAATACGTAAAAAGGGGTTTATTATTACGGAGTATTATTTATTTATTTATTTTTGCAAAAGAGACCCGACCATGCACAGTGCCAGAAGCGTTGGTTCACTGTCAGTTCTCAATAATGTAAACGTCTTTTCAAACTTAACAGTCCACCTTCCCGTGGTCCTACCACATAAAAGCATTCATCAACTTTACTCTTCAATTATAAAACATTATGACCCACTAGAAGTGGAAAAATAAAATTTGGAATTTATTTGGTTTTAAAAAAAGATTAATAATAGTGAAGAACAAATTGCACTTTTGGTCCTGTGAGTATTAGGGTACTGACAATTTGAGTACGTGACTTTCAAAACTCCCAATTTAGACCTTTAACTATGCAAAAATTGGCAGATTTGGTCCTCCGGGCCAAATTGCCGGCCAATTTTGGCCGGAAAAACATAAATTGGTTCGAATTTATTTGTGTTGAGGGCAAAACCGTCATTTCACTCCCTTCTCTTTCACCATGATCACGGACATGACACCACCGCATTCTTCCGCCACCTCTGAACCAATTCCCGCCGCGCCTACGCTGGAGGACGAGGACATGGCTCGCTGCCTTATGCTCCTCTCCCAAGGCGGAGGAGTCTCGCGTCATCCTCCTGCCATCCCCAAGTCGCCGCTGTACAAGGAGGAGGAGAGCGGCGGCGGGAGCAAATTCTGCAGCAAGAAATATATAGAGATGACCACCGTGGGCGGCGGGGGAGGGGTGAAAGTGGGGATGTATGTCTACGAATGTAAAACGTGTGGCCGCACGTTTCCGACGTTTCAAGCGCTGGGCGCCCACCAGACCAGCCACACCAAGGAGAAGCCACCGTTGACGACGGTGGAAACCGCCGCCGTGAAGAGGCCGCTGTCCTTGTACGATGAAGAAGACATTAATCCTTATCCGTTCAACAAGACCCCTAAAATCTCTCCCCCTTTCTCTTCCCTCCATTTCTACGATTCCGCCAAGTCCTCCCCCAGGATTCACGAGTGCTCCTACTGCGGCGCCGAATTCTCGTCCGGCCAGGTGTTGGGCGGCCACATGAGACGCCACCGTAACTCCACCGCCGCCGCCGCCGCCTCGCAGTTGAGCCCGAGCTCTTCCAGCTTCGAGAAAAGGGTACTCCAAAAGGAAGAAAATAATGGGAAAGGTTTGAATTTGGATCTCAACCTCCTCCCCGCCGGAGAAGATAATCAAGATCATCGTCGTGCTAGGGAGCCAATCGTGAAATGACGATTTTGCCCTCAACACAAATAAATTCGAACCAATTTATGTTTTTCCGGCCAAAATTGGCCGGCAATTTGGCCCGGAGGACCAAATCTGCCAATTTTTGCATAGTTAAAGGTCTAAATTGGGAGTTTTGAAAGTCACGTACTCAAATTGTCAGTACCCTAATACTCACAGGACCAAAAGTGCAATTTGTTCTAATAGTGAATTAGCAGAGAATAGAAAATGTTTTACAAATAAGCATAAGTATAATATTATTTCTGGTCAACTCAACCAAGTTGCTAAAGTTATAAACTTTAACACTTGTGTGAGATCGTTTCAAGTGTTTTAATCCGTGAGTCATATATTTAGTTAATAGGTCAAATTTTTATATAATATATCTGTACTCGTGATATGGTGTCACACAAGTTTTTACTGTGCTTGTTTACCTTTTTTGCTGACTGAGATCACATGGGGATGGCTGAGTGTCCATAGCCACCAACCAAATTTGACAAGTATGCAGCTTATAACTACAAATGTCTTATGTATGTAAACCATATCCACTGATACACAGGAGAAATGGGCGGTTCAGAATGTGCAGAACACATAGTGATGCTGCCATTCATGGCACATGGCCATATGATTCCATTCTTGGGTTTAGCCAAGCAAATCAAGCAAACAACTGCTTTCAAACTCACCATCGTTACTACTCCTCTCAACGTTCAATATCTCACCTCCTGCATTGATGATCCAGAAATCCGATTGGCGGCGCTGCCGTTCACCGGCGCCGACCATGGCTTGCCACCCGGCGTAGAGAACACAGAGGCATTGCCTTTGCGCTACATGTTCACAATGGTGCAGTCCACGGTTGCCCTCAAGGACCCTTTGCGCAATTTCATCTCCGATATGGCCGCCAAAGACAGAAAGCCTCCTCTCTGCATAATCTCCGACGTATTCATGGGATGGGCGAGCGAAGTGGCCAGGTCTTGTGGGACGGTGAACGTGGGGTTCTCAACTTCCGGGGCCTACGGCACCGCGTGCTATATGTCCATCTGGCGAGACCTCCCGCATCTCGCCGCCAGCGATTACGGCGAGTTCACCGTACCGGCGTTTCCTGATTCCTGTCGGTTTAACGTCTCTAAGCTTCACCCTTTCATGAGAGCTGCAAACGGTGAAGATTCCTGGTCGAAGGTCTTTCGGTCTACTATATCAGGTTGCTTCGAGTCTATTGGATGGTTATGTAACACAGTGAAGGAAATTGAGCCTCTAGGCTCAGATGCACTTGGAAAGTGTATTAACCTTCCGGTTTGGTGCATCGGACCTTTCCTCCCTCCGGGGATGCTAAACAAGGGTTCTTCGTCTATCACTGGGAAACGGACTGGCAAAGATCACGGATTGTCCCCGGAGAAATGCATAGAATGGCTAGACATGCATTCTGAAGGCTCTGTTCTTTACATTTCGTTTGGTTCCCAGAACACTATCAGTGCTTCACAGATGATGGCGCTGGCTTTGGGATTGGAAGACAGTAGAAAGCCATTCATTTGGGTGATAAGGCCACCTATCGGATTCGACATAAAAGGGGAGTTCAAATCAGAATGGTTGCCAGAAGGGTTTACAGAGAGAAAGCAGGGACTTTTGATCCATTCTTGGGCTCCTCAACTGGAGATTCTTTGCCACAAATCAACAGGGGCATTCTTGAGCCACTGTGGATGGAATTCCAGCATTGAAAGTTTGAGCCAAGGAGTGCCCATGATTGGGTGGCCAATGGCGGGTGAGCAGGCCTTCAATTCAAAGATGATGATGGAGGAAATGGGGGTGTGCATAGAGCTAACAAATGGGGTTCAAAGCACCATCCTGAGAAGTGATGTGAAGAGTGTGATAGGTGTTGTATTGGATAGCGAAAAAGGAAGAGAAATGAAGGAAAATGCAGTTCGGATTGGGGAGCTGATTAGAGCAGCCGTGAGAGAAGATGAAACCAGCAAAGGGTCTTCCCTACAAGCAATGGATCATTTCATATCTACGCTGCGCGCTCTGATCTCCAAAAGAATTGAAAAGCCTCACCTGTAGATATGGCTGAAATTTCATTTAAGATATGAATAAACTTTGTATCATGCATTTTCCTTGTCTGCAACATGCCGAATTCGGAAATTTGGTTTTAGAACATTCTTCTCTTTTGGATCCTGTTTTCACGATACAATATAATAATTAAACAATACAAAAAAAAAAAAAGAAACAAATCGCCGACAAAACTCTTACCATTTATCATTTATGTGGACAACAATAATACATATAATTTTTTTCTTCAAAAGAATAATACTCACGTAATTGATAAGACGATAAAAGGGATCCGAGGACCGACCATGCACTGCATGGTGCGGTGGTCCTTCCACATAAATGCTGGTACAACATCCATCAATTCCCACCACATGAGTTAACCAAAAAAGGTGACATTTCTGCTAAATTATTAATAAGTGTATGAAGAAGTAAACATATGAAGACCAATCAACTACTATATAGTGTGATAATATCTTTGTTATCATTTCAAATGGGTGATTACATAATTAATCTCCGAGTGGGACATTGCTTTTTTAAACTGAAAAAGAAGTATATAACAAATATTACATTGTAAAAAATCATGAGTAAAAAAGCAAAAAAAAGCATATCAAAACCTGCTTGGAACATGATTAGTTTACCCAGTTAAGTTGATTGAATTTAATAACTATAAAATTTTAAGTGATTTTTTGAATTGTTTATTAACCTTATTGGTTTAAATACGGAAAGCCTAGTTTACCTATTTACATGTCCTCCAAGGCTTACATAGTTGAAGCCATTAGCCATACACAGAAGAAATGGGTGGGTCAGAGTGTGCAGAACACATAGTGATGCTGCCGTTCATGGCACATGGCCATATGATTCCATTCTTGGGTTTAGCTAAGCAAATCAAGCAAACAACTGCTTTCAAACTCACCCTCGTTACTACTCCTCTCAACGTCCAATATCTCACCTCCTACATTGATGATCCAGAAATCCGATTGGTGGCGCTGCCGTTCAACGGCGCCGACTATGGCTTACCACCCGGCGCAGAGAACACAGAGGGCTTGCCCTTGCACCAAATGATCAATATTGTGCGGTCTACGGTTGGCCTCAAGGACCCTTTTCGCAATTTCATCTCCGATATTACCGCCAAAGATGGAAAGCCTCCTCTCTGCATAATCTCCGACGTGTTCATTGGATGGGCGAGCGAAGTGGCCAGGTCCTGTGGGACGGTGAACGTGGGGTTCTCAACTGCCGGAGCCTACGGCACCACGTGCTTTATGTCCATCTGGCGAGACCTCCCGCATCTCGCCGCCGGCGACGACGGTGAGTTTACCATGCCGGCGTTTCCCGATTCCTGTCGTTATAACGTCTCTCACCTCCACGCTTTCATGAGAGCTGCAAATGGCGAAGATTCCTGGTCGAAGGTGTTTGGGTGTATTGTAGCAGGTAGCTTAGAGAGTCTTGGATGGTTGTGTAACACAGTGAAGGAAATTGAACCTGTAGGCTCAAATGCACTGGGGAAGTTTACTAAACTTCCGGTTTGGTGCGTCGGCCCTTTTCTCCCTCCGGCCATGATTAACAAGGGATCACGTATCATCGGGAGACATTCGGGGAAAGATCACGGATTGTCCCCGGAGAAGTGCATAGAATGGCTAGACATGCATTCTGAAGGCTCTGTTCTTTACATTTCGTTTGGTTCCCAGAACACTATCAGTGCTTCACAGATGATGGCACTGGCTTTGGGATTGGAAGACAGTGGAAAGCCATTCATTTGGGTGATCAGGCCACCTATTGGATTCGACATAAAAGGAGAATTCAAATCAGAATGGTTGCCAGAAGGGTTTACAGAGAGAAAGCAGGGACTTTTAATTCATTCTTGGGCTCCTCAGCTGGAGATTCTTTGCCACAAATCAACCGGAGCATTCTTGAGTCACTGTGGATGGAATTCCAGCCTTGAAAGTTTGAGCCAGGGAGTGCCCATCATTGGGTGGCCAATGGCGGGCGAGCAAGCTTTTAATTCAAAGATGATGATGGAGGAAATGGGTGTGTGCATAGAGCTAACAAAGGGGGTTCACACCACTATTCTGAGGGGTGATGTGAAGGGGGTTATAGATTCTGTATTGGATAGCAGTAAAGGAATAGAAATGAAGAAAAATGCAGTTCGGATTGGGGAGTTGATTAGAGCCGCTGCAAGAGAAGACGAAACCAGCAAAGGGTCTTCTCTACTGGCAATGGATCATTTCATATCTACGCTGCTCTCCAAAAGAATTGAAGCCTGACCTGTGGACATGTCTGAAATTTCATGTAAGATATGTATCAAAAGAACTAAAATAAACTTAGAAAATCCAAATTTATTCTGGAAAACTGAAGTGGTTCATTGCACAACTATCCAAAATGTAAAACGTCGTTATATAACACTTCCCATCAAGTATATTAATGTTAATATTCCACATTATGTTACACACCACTAAGATGCAGTCTGTTGTTTACACTTTACACGGGAGAATAATAGAGAAGATAGCATGGATAGTTGGAAATACATGATTATGTGCCCTTTGAAAAATTACCGCACATCTTTTACATGCTACTCACAGTCGTTTCGTTTGTTCTACACAGTATCATGATGCATATCAAGCACTTCCAGAAGTCTCTGCTGGCTGAGAGCCATAATTCCAGAGCTTTTTCAGTTCGCCTCTAATCAAACCCAGCGCGACACAAGTTCCTAGAATCAAACGGAGTGACAAAATGTTAAAGAGCACACTCAAATTGGTCTGAATTTAGAATCAAATACTCTGGATAAGTTCAGAGGTGTACGGAAGTATCATACCTAATGTGCAAGGTACAAGGTAGAGGAGAGCAGGTTGACCGTGTCCATTCATTAGATACAACCCCAAGTAAGTAAAGCAGAGGCCTGCAAAAATCCAATATTGGTTGATTAAAGAACTGAATAAGGTTTCAGTAAAGAAGGTTCAAACATATGAGACAGTTGAATACTGAAGGTAAAGAAAACCCACCAACTCCATAGCCAACCATTAACCAAGGAAAGTATCCATTCAGTACGCCCTTTTGGTTAGCTTGGTCAAATCTGCAAAATATTTAGTGAAGAAAAGGCAGTGACAAAATGGCCTTCAGGGACAAACACATTTGAATACACGTATGTTTGTGTTTGTGTGTGCGGTTAATATGGAAGTACTAGAAAGTTATGAATGTCAATAATCTTATGTATCCATACATCTTGCCATAAATAAAATACTCGGTAATAAACTATGAAAATGTAATTTCAGAGTAATGTTAATGTCCATTGTATACGTTTTTTCTTATTTGCCCAAGCATTCTGGAATCCGTGAGATCTCTTTCAAAGGCATCAAATATTCCCTAGTTCTGAAGAAATTGTTATGCAATGTCAAATACAAGATGGTGGCAGAGAGCATACCTAAAAGAAAAAGAAACTAACAACCCAGGAAAGAGAATGTCCCCAAAACCAATCATGTCGTAACCATCCCAAGGATCTGTTATTCGAGGCACCCTCAGAAGCATCGGGATGGATTCTCCACCACTTTTGTTGCCTTTAGCAACCTACAAAAGCGGTAAAATATTATCTCAGTTGTTGAGTTGGCCAGGCACAGGTTCAGAGGGCCCGGGGGACAATAGCAAATATCAAGTTAAGTATCTTCTCTAAGAGATGTACCCTCCATACACTTCATTAAATGTTAACCCTTCAATACCTCTCAACTGAGAGGTACTGAAAAAAGTTCAAGCAAGTTATGGGAATCTGTTTTTTTGGATGACGAGAGAAACCCACAACCACTACCTGAGGGTATGCACTAGATAAACCCTGCCTTGTGGCCCTAGCCAGCAAAGGACCACAAGGAGGTAAACCAGCCTAGGTTGCTCATATCCATTATGGGAATCCATTTTGTTTCTAATGATGAGAGCTAGAAATTTGGACATGGATGGGTTTTAGTTCACATATCCATGATGCAGTAAACTGGAAAAAACTCCCCATAGACCATAATGATATGAGCTTTATGCTCAATAATTTTTCAACCATCTATGTTTATCATTTACTCTATATATTGTGGTGAATACTAAAAAAGTCAGGCAGAATGAATAGTATCTCTAGTGTTGAAAATGACATTTCAAGAGTACAAGGCCAATAAATTTCTAGGTATGGTGAATCATACAATTGTTGTCTGATTCCTCTAATACATTAAAAAAGCAATTTAAAAAAAAAAAAAAAAACAAAATCCTAGACCAAAGTAGAGGCAACTAGTAAATCATGATCACCATCAAAGCCTATGTAACTAATACATAAAAGTAAATGTGGCTTAAGAACCAAAACTTACCGCAATCATAACACTGTCGTGGAATATAAAAGGTGATAGGAAAACCCAAAAGATGTCGTACATGAATGCACAACAAAGTAGTACTGTAGCAACCTAAAACCAAAGCCATAGTCAATCAATTAAATGGTAAAGCATTTATATTCGTAGAGACATTATGAAATACCTTAATATTGGGCAGCTGAGCCATCTGCAGGACAGTTATCATCAGACCTATGCCCTGGTAACAATAAACAACTTCTACCTCAATTTTAATATGAAAAGCCTTCAAATGGAACCTTGAGCTATGCAGTGGGGGTACAATAACTTAACATAAACATAATCATGATGGACTTAAAAAAGGTATATTACCTCGATATCATAGGAAATTAGAAAATTGAAATAAGAATGAAACACTGGCTCAGGTTATCATAAAAAAACAACAAAATGAATTAAGACAGCAGATAAAAATTTTCAGATTAAACTTACAAGAATATCCTGTCCAATCCATGAGTATGATGCTTTCCGATTTGCAGCCCAGAATATGGCAAATGCCAAACAAAGTAAAAACACCACAAAAGAAAAAATGGTTGTTTCCCCAAAAACTGGCAATTTCAATGTCTTCCTTGTACAAGCTTTACATTTACTGCCCATAAGATATGAACAAACAAGAATCTGAATTGTATGAAAATCCCATTACATACATAACGCAGAATGACTGGTTTTCAAGCAATAGATTAAAATACAAAAATACAATAATTACCTTGATACAAGTGATACTATACAATTATGCATCCCCTGAGG